TTTTGAGTTCGAGTCTCACTCTGTCGCCCAGACTGGAGTGCAATAGCCACTCCCGGCCACTGCAGCCTCGACCTGCTGGGCTCCGGTGATCCTTCCGCCTCAGCCTTCTAAAGTAGCTGGAACTACAGGTGCGCACTACCATGCCCGGCTAATTTTTGATTTATTGTAGAGATGAGGTCTCACCAAGTTGCCCAGGCGGGTTTCGAACCCGCAGGCTCAGGCAATCCACTCACCTCAGCCTCCCAAAGGCGCAGGATTACAGGCTGAGCCACCAAGCCTGGCTTCTTTTTTTTTTTCTGATTATGGCAACTAGAAAATGTCAATGTACCCATGTGACTTGCAATAGTTTTTACTAGAGAATGCCGCTTGGGCCATGTGTACAACAACAGCATGGTGGAATGTGGGAGTTACCACATGACACAGAGCAGCGGAATCCTTCTCACGGGAAGGAGTGTGTACCTCAAGCTCAACCAAGCCCCCCACTTCCCCACTGCAGAAGTTTGACTCCCAGGCTCACCTGTTGTACAGTTGCTGAGAGCTGAACGTATAAAGCACGTACAGGGTGTTGCCTGCCAGAAAGGCCAAGATCCACAAGATGACCAGCACGGACCTCTTCTCCTGGAGACGAAGCAAGAGATTTGTGATACCAAAGGCACACTGCAGAACCTTCCAGAATGTTCCTTGATGAAAGGCGCCTTTTCACTCTGACAGTGTTTTGGAGGATGTGGTGCTGAAGACGGAAGGCAGGGCACGGGCACTTTTCCATCTCACTGGGATTCAAGGGATGGTCATAGAGAACGCGAGAGAATGGTGGGAACCTGTTTGGAGAGCGATCCAGAAAGACTAGAGAGCACCGTGGTTCACAGCAAAGACTTGGGACCTGGATGGCCTACATTCAAAGCCTCAGCCAGCTGGGTGGGAGCCATCTAACCTCAGGCAAATCACTTAAACTCTTTGCATTTCCCCTTCCTCTGCTGTAAAATGGGTATATCTTAGTCTCCACAGACTGAGACTTAAATGTGAGAATTAAAGCACATAAAATGCTGTGAGGAATTAAGGCACAGAGGTGAGCAAACCCTTGTTCAAGGGCATGTGCTTTAAGCCTCAATGTCCTTGTTTGAAAATGGGGGTGTTTTTAAGGATTAAGTCAAGTTTTTGAATGCAAATAGTCAGTCTTGTACGGACCCCTATTTCAGGCTCACAAAGGGGTAGGACCGAATATTAAGAGTTTACAATCCAACAGTAGACTCAGATCTAGAGGCTGGAGATTTCTGCTGTCATATTTTCTGGCACAGACTTCTGAGCCACTGTTCCAGACTGACCATTCAGTGGCGGGCCACACTGAAAAGATTATATCCAAACTTGTATGTCTGACTGTTACGGCCCTTCAAATCCAGCATAATTTCTTTCTTTCTCTCTTTTTTTTGAGTCAGGGTCTCACTCTGTCACCCAGGCTGGAGTGGACAGACAAGATAGTCATGGATCACTGCAGTCTTGACCCCCTTTGGTTTTTCGCCTCAGCCTCCTGAGTAGCTGGAATATGCCACCATGCCCAGCTAATTTTTTGATTTTTTACAGAGACAAGTTCTTACTATACTGTCCTGTTGGTCTCGAACTCCTGGGATCAAGTGATCCTCCTGCCTTGGCCTCCCAAAGTGCTGGGATGACAGGCGTGACCTACCACGCCAGGCCCATTTCTCTTTCTTTAGCCTCATTCCTATTTATTCCTCAGCACCACAAACTGGAAGATGTCAGTTTGTTGTTTTCTGGCATCTTCGTGGCCTGAGCCGCAATCTTGGGAAATGTCCAAAGGAGGTACAGAGGGGTGTGTTCCTGTCTGTGTACCCTAGAAGACACAAGCAGACCCCTCTGCTGGTGATTCTCAAAAGCTTGTGTTTTCCTGGACTGGAGTGACTGTGTTGCTGGAACAAGATGAGGTCATAACTTTCCCAGTGTAACCTTCCTGCGGTTTCGGTAAATGCTCAATACACACTGTCTCCAGACACAGCTCAGCGCCCCACGTACTGTTACGACGCACATTTCCAGAGAGTGGACGAGACAGATGCATCTCCATCCACCCATTATTCCAGGAGCGGTCAAGGTTAACGATGCTAGAAACCACCTCCACCCAACCAGCTGCTCTTATCAATGTGATTAATCTACTTGGCAGCCCTTTTTACCCCAATAAATAATAGATCCCAGTTTAATTCTCTGTAAGTCCAAAACAAAGGTGGAACAGGCATTAGCCATGCCCCTAGACGACAGCATCTGCAGGACAAAGAGCTCTCCAGGAATTAGCTGAGATGTCTAAGCTTACTGAGGTCAGGCAGACCCACCTTCACAGAAAATACACACAGACAGGCAAAAGGTTCCCTGTCTTCACAGGTTGCAAGGATTCCTGGAGGCCTGTCTGCAGATCCAGACATCTTCTTACCCCCTAAAATTCCAGTCAAGGTACCCTCTGGATGTTCCTATATTTGAGAGAGAGCTAGGTCTCAAACCCTCCCACTGTTTTAATAGCATTAGAAGTGGGTGTGCATTAAGAAGATGAGACCAAGGGTGAAGAAGAACCTCTGGCTCTGTCCTCAACTCTGGACCTCAATGTGCACGTGTAGATGGAGACTGAGCAGCCTTCTGCGTTGGAGGCCCAAGTGCTTTTGAGAAAGCAGATGATGCTATCAAAGGCTCAGAGAAGATGGACATTGTTATGGGGTCACCTGCACGGTAAAAAGCACAGGCTTTTAAAAAATAACTCAGATGTATCCTATATGCCAGGCACCATGCAAAACACCTTCTATGTACTGTCTCATCTAATCTTCCTGACAAGTCTAGGAGTTGGTATGAATAGGACCTTTTCCAGAGGTGGCACCTGGGGCCAATATCACCTCATCGAGGACCTGCAGGAAGGCAGAGGACCTGGGATTGGAACCTGGAATGAGCACAAACTCTGGGCTCAACTGCCTGGGTTCAAATCCTGATGCTACCACTTGCACCAGCTGTGTGACCTCAGGCAAGGAATTTTGTGTCTCTGAGTCATCTTTCCTCTCTGGGAAATGAGTTGAGAATGATTCTGCCTCCTTCCCTGTTGCTAGGGTGAATCCACTGAGATGTCCAAGGGGCTCAGCACTGTGCCAGGCACAAACATTGTTAGTGCTCAGCAGACCTAGAGGATGCTCAGGGAGGTGGGGGGAAGCTATAGGTCCACCCAGCAGTGGCAACGGGATAGCTTCAACCAGGAGTGTGGGATGCAGTGAACTAACACCTGGAGGGTAATGGGATTGGCCTAGGAGCACATGGAGGGATACAGCTGTTGGAAGTGAGTGGCTAGGCTGTATGGAGGCTGGGGGAAAGTGGAACATCCGGGGATCACCCAGAGAAGAATGGCCTCCCAGAGATGTCCACATCCTAATCCCTGGGATCTGGGACTATGTCAGGTTACAAGACAAAGAGGAGTTAAGGCTGCAGGGAACTAAGGTTGCAAATCAGAGGACTCTGAGATGCGAGAGGAGCCTGGATCACCCAGGTGGGCCCAAAGTGACCACAGGGACCCTAAGTGGAAGAGGAGGCAGAAGAGGAGAGTTTGGGGAGATGAGACCATGGAAGGATGGTCACAGAGATGCAAGGTTGTTGGCTCAAGGAAGGAGGAAGGGAACACGAGCCCGAGAATGTGGGTGACCTGAAGACCCCGGAAAAGGCAGGGACAGAGACACCCCCAGGGCCTCCAGAAGGAAAGCAGCCCTGTCCATGCCTTTGTCTTAGCCCAGAGAGACCCACATCAGGCTTCTGACCTGCAGGACTGTAAGACAATCAATGTGCATGGCTGTTAGCCACGAAGTCTTTGGTCATCTGCGGTGACAGCCACAGGAGACTCACTGGCCAGGGGCCTCACCTTCAGAGACACCTGTTCTCGGAGCGTAGAGTTGGCGTATGCGAAGGTGCTGGCCATCCCGATGCACACAGCGATGCCTGCAGGACAGAGGGGGGCCCGGCGTCACCCACTCAAACTCAGCTGGCCTTGCTCAAGACTGTGAGCAATATTGGAAAAAGACACATCCCTGGTTCCCTTGGATTTGACAGAAAAGAAAATCCTACCTCTGGGAAATTTAAGCTGCCATGTAAATTACTGGGAACCCTGAGCCATTCTGACTTAGGATTTGGGCCCCTGTGGGGATACTTTACAGCACCGGGTTTGGTGCATGGGCTGTGCATTCTGGGCTCAAATCCCAGCTCTGCCAACTCCTCCCTGTGTGAGCTTGGGTGAGTCACTGCACCTCTCCGAGCCCCAGTTTCCTTATCTGTAAAATGGATAGAGCGACAACAGTATGTACCTCATGGAGGAATAATGCTTGTAGATTAGAACCCCTAGCTATTAGTACATGGAACCTGTTAGTATTTCCTTTTTTTTGACTTGCGGTCTCACTCTGTCGCCCAGGCTGGAGTGCAGTGGTACAATCACGGCTCACTGCAGCCTTAACCTCCTGGGCTCAGGTGACCTTCACTTTCAGCCTCCCGAGTAGCTACGACTGCAGTTGTGCACCATCATACCTGGCTAATTTTTTGATTTTTTTATAGAGATGCAGTCCCTCTGTGTTGCCTAGCCTGGTCTTAAACTCCTGAGCTCAAGCACTCCTCCCACCTTGGTCTCCCAAAGTGCTGGGTTACAGGCATGAGACACCACGCCTGATCTACTGGTATTTCCACTCTCAAAAAGGATCTGAAGTGTATTATTTGTAATAAAAGCAAATGTAAAAGAAGACTACCACACCATAAGGAATTAAAGTTCGGTGTTCAAGGGGGAAAAAAATCCCAGCTAACAGAAAAATAGGACCCAGGCAGATACGAGAATGAAATGGAATGTTCTTCCAAAAGGCATTTCATAGACACTGTTTGTCAAGCTACAATCCTGGAATCCTCCCTGAACAATACTTTTCTTTTTCCTTTTTTTTTTTTGAGTTGAAGTCTCACTCTGTCACCCAGGTTGGATTGCAGTGGGCACACTCATGGCCACCGCAGTCTCGAGGTGATCCTTTTGCCTCAGCCTTCCAAGTAGCTGGAACTACAGGCATCACACCCGGCTAACTTTTTAATTTATTGTAGAGATGAGGTCTCGCCAAGTTGCCCAGGCTGGTCTTGAACCTGTGAGCTCAGGCAATCCTTTCACCTCAGTCTCCTAATCTGCTAGCCCTGCACGATACTTCTCCAGCCCTGCACGATACTTTTCAGTTCCTGCTTTTTGCTACTTGGGGACAGGATTTTGTTTTCTCATGGTGTTGAAGTTCACTTACTCTTGTAAGAAGTACTTGCACTCCAGATATTCTCCCAGAGCTACTTTGTAAAGGACGTATTTCTTCACTGAAAACATATAAAAAAGAACTCGAAACCCTAATGTCCTTTTTTTCTACTTCCTTCTTTGATTAAAAAACAAAAAAACTCTGTCAAATGAAAAAGAAAATGAACTTACTGGCAAATAAAACTTAGCTGTAAGTTTGTCAGAATTTATGGTAAGGAGAAACATGTCAGCTTCCGCTTTTAGGAATAGAAATGGGCTAGCCTGGGCAATATAGCGAGACCCCGACTCTACAAAAAATAAACAAATAAAAAAATTAGTCAGGCATGGTGGTGTGACTGTAGTTCCAGCTACTTGGGAGGCTGAGGTGGGAGAATCACTTGGGCCCAGGAGCTCGAGGCTGCAGTGAGCTATGATAGCACCAATGCACTCCAGCCTTGAAGACAGAGTAAGACTTTCTTTCTACAAAAGTGATAGAAAAATAAAATAAAATTTTAAAAGGGATGGGGCTGACATGGCAGCACACCAGCAAGGAAGGCAGAGTGATCGAGTTGGTTGGAACTCACCAGAGAAGGGAAGATAAATAGAACTTGGCCTAATCTCTTCTGGATGCTTCTATGGAAGGCAACAGGCCACGAGATCATTCTTGCCTTCATTCCTACTGCAGGACCAAAACAGCCTACAAGCCCTGCAGGGCACAGTAACTCATAATCTATTAATAAAAAGTAACAACAATAACAGTAACAACAGGTTATTTATTTAGATTTGAGGGTCTCACTCTGTCACCCTGGCTGGAGTGCAGTGGCATGATCCTGGCTCACCACAGCCTCAACCTCCTGGGCTCAGGCGATGCTTCCACCTCAGGCTCCTGAATAACTGGGACTACAGGTGTGCACCACCATGCCTGGCTGACTTGTTAATTTTTTGTAGAGACAGGGGTATCGCTGTGTTGCCCAGGCTGGTCTCGAACTCCTGGCCTCAAGTGACCATCCTGCCTTGACCTCCCAAAGTACAGGGATTACAGGTGTCAGTCACCATGCCAGGCCTAGAGACCATTTATTGAATGTTAAATATGTGTTATATACTAGGCTAATCACTTACTCTTACTTCCTAATACTAATGACAATAGTAGCATTTGCTGAATATTTGCTATGTGCCAAGCTCTCTGCTAAGTATTTTAATGTATGTCAATAATGATTATAACAATAACAATGCACACTTGCATAGAATTTACCCTTGGCCAGGCCCTGTGATCCCAGTAAGTATATACAATGATACCCCAACTTTATAGATGATGACACTGAGGCACAGAGAGGTTAAGTAATACACCCAGTGTCACACTGCTAGGAAGGGGCAGAACTGGGGTTCACATCCACACAGTCTGAGCTTTGTTGTCACCCGCTACTCTTTCACATCAACCAACAAGCTAAGAAAAACCTTCCTCTTTTCACTTTTTAGAGACAGGATCTTGCTTTGTCACCCAGGCTGGAGTGCAGTGGTGCGGTCACAGCTCACGGCAGCCTCAACCTCCTGGGCTAAGGCGATCTGCCTTGGCCTCTTGAGTAGATAGGATTACAAGTGCATGCTACCACCCCTGGTCTTTAAAATATTTTTTTTTGTAGAGACAAAGTCTCACTATGTTGCCCAGGCTGGTCTCGACCTCCTCGCCTCAGAGGATCCTCCTGCCTCAGCCTCCCAAAGCACTGGGATGTGCATTTATTGAATGTTAAATATGTGTCAGATGTGCATTTATTGAATGTTAGATATGTGTCAGATACTAGGCTAATCACTTACTCTTATTTCCTAATAATAATGACAATAGTAGCATTTGTTGAATATTTGCTATGTGCCAAGCTCTCTGCTAAGTATTTTAATGTATGTCAATAATGACATACATTAAAATACCAGCCAACATGGGGAAGTTTCAATCACAACCCTTACTAGACAGATGAGAAACCTAAGGCTCCCATAAGAAGTGACTTGCCTAAAGTCCCATGGCTACTTACTGGGATTTGAACCCAGGTCTGACTCAGAATTCTATACCCTGAAGACCCCTTGCACCATGATGGCCTCTGCTGCTTCCCCTGGGGCTTGGGATCGGGAGTCCTCCACCCCGTGGGCCTCGGGGACCCCCAGGGGGAAGCCCCAGGCTCCAACACCCACCTCTCCCGGACTCAGACTCACCGAGCTTATGCTGGAAGCACAGCTTGGCCAGGAGGATCAGGATGAAGGGCAGGCCTTTCTGCAGCCAGCAGATCACAGCCTTCAGCTCGGACAGGGCGGGGGCGGGCGTCCCCGGCTGCTCGTCGCCCCCCTCCTCGGAGTGCCCGCGGTGGTCCCCGCCCACGTGCTGCAGCAGGGAGCTCCCGCGGTGGCTGCTGTGGTGGAAATGGTGGTGGGGCTGGCGGTGGTGGTAGGCGCCTCCCTCGCCCCGGCCCCCTCCCTCCTCCCGGGACGCCGGCATCTGGATCAACACGTCCCCGCCTCCGGCCGAGGACCCCAGCACCAGGCTGGACGGGAACGGGCTGGCGGGGAGGCTGCCTGCGAGGCCGGAGAAGAGCGCGGGCGGGGAGGCCGCTTCTGCCTTCAGACTCTCGAAGACGCCGCCCTCATCCACACTGGCCTCGGAGCTGTGCGCCTGGCTGCGGTTTCTGGGGGAAGAGAAGCCCTGCCAAGTCAGGTGGACACACAGACAGGACCCCAGTGGGGAATGGAGGCGAATAACATCAAGAGTTATGGCTGGGCACAGTGGCTCATGCCTGTAATCCTAGCACTTTGGGAGGCTGAGGTGGGAGGGTTGTTTGAGCCCGGCGTCCCAGACCAGCCTGGGCAACACAGCCAGACCTTGTCGCTGCAAAAATAAGAAATTAGCTGGGCATGGTGATGCGCGCCTGTAGTTCCAGCTACTCAGGAGGCTAAGGCAGAAGGATCGCCAGATCAGAAGGTGGAGGCTGCCATGAGCTGGGATCAGGTCACTGCATTCAAGCCTGGGTAACAGAGTGAGACTCTGACTCAAAAAAAAAAAAAAGTTATGAGCTGAACTGTGTCCCTCCTCAAACTCATATCCTGAAGTCCTAACCCTCAGGACCTCAGAATGTGACCTTATTTAGATTTAGGGTCCTTAAAGAGGTGACAGAGTTCAAATGAGGTCATCAGTGTGGGCTCTAATACCAAAAGGATTGGTGTCCTTAGAAGGAGAGAACAGGACACAGACAGGTACAGAGAGAAGATTCTCTGAAGAAATGAGGAAGGTGGCCGTCTATAAGCCAAGGAGAGAGGCCAATCCTGCCAGCACCTTGAACTTGGACTGCCAGCCGCTGCAACTGTGAGAAAAGAAACTTCTGCCATTTAAGCACCCCCAGTGTGTGATGCCATGTCAGGGTAGCCCTAAAACTAATACAAATAATAATAGCAAAAGGGTCATAGCCTTTATTGAAACTCACCCTGTGTCAGATACTTTTCTGAGTGCTTTACTTTGATTAACGTATTAAATCCTACTATCAACCCTGGGATTAGGTCCTACTAATATCCCCACCTTACAGATAAAGAAACTGAGATCTGAGAAAGTAAGTTGTCCAGAGTCACAGAGCTGGTAAGCAGTGGAGCCAGGGGAAAATCAGGTAGAGGAGCCCCAGAGCTAACTCTTTTGACCACCACTTTTCACTGAATAGGGAGCACAGGATTCTGTGATTCTAGCATAGAATCAGGAACCCAAGGAAGGACCCCTGGTTCTGGAATCCTCAAGTTCAAGGACACCCAGTTCCCCAGAGAGGCCAGTCTTGGACACAGCTGGTAGAAGACTTAGTAGAAAGGCCCACATTCTAAGCCCAACTCCACCCTTTCTAGGGGCCTTCATTCTCCTTGCTCAGTTTTCACACCTGAAAAATGAGTATAAATAACATTCCTGCATAGAATTCCCAGGGGTGGGGGATCAAATTTAAAATACCCTTTGCAATAACAGGTGCTCAATGTATGGGAGCTATTAATCTCAAATTCCTACAGAAGACCTCCAGGGCCGAATTGCTTTTGCTAGTTCCAAGCAAGGGGATCTTGGGTTGGAATAAGGCAAAGGTTCTCAGCTAGAAGAGCAGAGAGCCCATTAACCCTTCTGGGAATGGAGAGCCCAGTAACCCTTCTGGGAATGGAGAGGCCAGAACTGGGTGCGATTTCCCATAAACACCATGTCCTAGAGTTCCGGATGCCATCTTTCTCCTCTTGGGTCCATCCTCTTCCTCTCTTTCTTTCTCTTCCTCTCTCTCTCTCTCTCTCTCTCTCTCTCTCTCTTCTTCTCCCTCTCTCTCTCTCTCTTCTTCTCCCTCTCTCTCTCTCTCTTCTTCTCTCTCTCTCTCTCTCTCTCTCTCGGCCCTTGTTGGAAGCCAGTTTAACCACACATGTGAAGACAGGAGAGGAAGTCTGAAACTTCTGAATTGTCTTTACATTTTCTCCTGACATCTGACAAAGTAGCTTTTAGTCTCCTCCGGTATCCACGTTTCAGCCTCATCTTAGACTTAAACCTGAGCCTAGTTCAACCGTGTGTACAATGAGAGTGCTCTAATTAGAGGTTTTTAGCACAAGTACAGAATAATAATCTGGTGTAATTCTATCAGTTCACGTTGCCAGCAAGTCTTCTTGATGTTTTCTGAATTTCTCTCATATTCCTTCATCGGCCTTGTGTCTCTTTCTTGGTTTCTCATCCTTGCTCCCTCCTTCCATGGAAGTATCACTGAGGAGAGGAGGATGTGAACAGTCTCCTTCTCACTGGGTTACCACTTCCACAGACTTCAGCAAGAATGACCTGACAGACTCCAGAAACACACTTATTTCTGCAGCTTCAAGGCCTAGTATAGTTCTTGGCACATAGTAGAGGAAGAAGGAAAGGAAGAGAGAAAGGGAAGGAGGGAGGAAGGAAGGAAGGAAGGGAGGTCATCCTCTTTTCAAGTGGAATTATTATGGGAAAACTCAGTCCACACCCAGACATGGTGGAGCTGACCTGCCCGATGTACATGCCATGAGTCGTGGAGGAGGAGGGAGAACAAGATGTCTGTCACCCTGCAGGCACCTCCACAGACCCCAAGGGACTCCAGATACAGCACGAGCTTACTGAAAATGGCAACTGGGTTTCATTCACCTTCTGAACCCCACAACTCAGGGCACATAGTAGATGCTTAATAAATGTATGCTAGATATCATTCAGCCAAGATGGCAGCAGAAGAGAGCTTCCAAGGGAAGTTTGACTCTGCTTTCACACTTGATCCCATCTACTCTGTTATCAACTCAGAGACCAGGATATATTTTAAAAATATACTCAACCAACTTTGGATCATGGACCCAAACCCGCAGATACAGAGGGTCAACTGCACCAGCCATCTGCCACAGGGGTTTGAGCACCCACATAGCTTGCTTCCATAACTTCAGGGGCTCCTGATCACTTTCCCAGGAAAAGCCCTCCAAGGGCTTCCCACTCTACACTCCTTCCTGCAGTCTCAGATACACCCTCAAGGCGGGTACAAATATCATTCCCATTTTACTGATAAAGCAGCTGAGGCCCAGGCAGGTGAGCCTGCCAGACTTCCTCGATTACTTAGCCCTCCAATTCCCTTCTTGACTACCTCAGGGCTTCCTACTGTAGGCTGTCACCTTCACGGAGATTGCCCCCAGCCTAGGTAGCATACGCTCATCTATCAGATGGCAGCTAAAGTGTCTCTTCCTCAGAGACTCCCTTCCCTCCCACACAATGACGGCTCCTGTCCCTGTTCTCATGGCACCCGCGTGTCACCTGTACAGGGTCGATCCCAGTTGTCCTTTGGTTCCTTATCTTTCCCTCAAGACCTGTGACTCTCAACCCTGGTCACACAGTGCAATCACTTGGAGGAGCTTTTGAAAAATACAGATGCCTCAGCCCCCTGGAGACCAACTGAATCAAAACCTTTAGACTGGGCCTTGTTCCACGAGGTCAAAGATCATGACCGTTTGCTTCCCACAGAACCTCTCCTACGCAGCACAACACACCTGGCACAAAGAACATGCTCAATTAATACTGTCCCACTCAATGGGTATGTTAAGACTCTGAGAAGGCCTGCAACTGAAAATACTAACTTGTGTTTAAATCCAGTGTTTCCTAAACTTATTTAACCATGGAATTCTTTTTATCGATGAAAGATTGATTAACATCTTGCAGAATACCTGTGAAACACAGCAGGGGGGCATGAGGCCTGGAGTCTCAGGATTGGCTTCTCTGGCTGCACAAACTGGCCCTGGAGGTATGAAACCATAAACCTGGCGAGAGGCAGGAGACTGAAGATGGATACCTCCTTTCCCTCCCCCATCAGGCTCCATTCCTGCTGCCTCTGAAAGCCCAGTAAATGTGTGGTCCTCCTCCCTTGGGCTCTGGATAATAATAATGATAATATTAATAATGGCAACAATAACAAGCACCATGGCTATGATCCTCAAGGGGCCTTGAGCTTTTTCTGCACTTCAAGAAGCTCAGCTCCAAAAGCAAGAGTCCTGGCAGGTGCCCATGGTGGCCTACAAGGAGGCCACTCTCCCTCCCTGGCCGCCCAAGGGGCCCTAAAAGCCCTCCCCTCCCCTTGAGCCTGCCAGCACTCTGAGTTCCCTGGGCTCAGGGGGCCTCCACACAGCCAGGCAAGACTCAACCCACCAAGGAGCTGTTTATAGCTGGCCTCCCTTCCCTGGGCCTCTCCCCTGCATCCAGGAGAGATATCAGCCTGAACGGGAAAGGATGTTCCTTAGGGAGTCAGAGGCTGTGCTTCCAACTTAACCATTTAAGGACTAGAGCTTGAGGCAACTCAGGTGGACATGTGGATCTGCCCAGATAGGTGGCAGCCAAAATGAGGTACCTTGAGAGGCACAGATGTTGGGGAACAAATAGTCTGGGGCCCAGATCTCGCCCTGCTACTTCGTGGCTGTGACTTTAGGTGATTTGTTTCCCTCTCTGAGCCTCAGTTTCCTCATCTGTAAGATGGGTATAATAATAATCCTGATCTCATCAGACTAATGCTAGAGTAGCACAGAGTCAGTGCTTAAAACATGGCGGCCACTACTTTCCTGCTGTGGTCTCGGCCCCTGAAAGATCTCATGGCTCACTGGAGAGCGGATGGCATGCTGTCTTCAGAGCCTGGAAGAGCCCCACCAGGCACACACTATAAGCCAGATGCTGTGTTTGGACACTTTCACACTCTTTCCTCATCCATAAGCAACTCTGACTTTTATTTTCTGCTGTTTATGGATGGAGAAGCTGAGACCTGGGGTGAAGCCGCTCACCAAAGCCACCACAGGTGGGAGGCGGCCGAGCTGGGATTTCGGCCAAGGGTCATCAGCTTCCCTGCAGAACAGGCAGGCTTAACACAAAGCTCAGCCCTGATGTTGGGGCCAGTGGCTACTATTTGGAAGTTTGTGGTCAACCCCAAAGTTTCAAGGGGCCCACTGTAGGATGCGAGGGAGGAGTCGCTTGCCTGCCCGCTCCTTGGATGTACGTGTTAGCATGGAAGGTTCTGGGGCTGGAGACTGTGCCAACCTGAGAAAAGACGCCCAGGTGCCTACTCTCTTGGGTTTAAATAGATAGAAATTCCTACTCATGAATGTTTTAACTGTGTTGCTTTAGACTCTGTATTTGTCTACTTGGCATCCATTAATCATAATGGCCAAAGTTGTCTCCATAGTCCCTGCAATCCACAGCCCATAACCCCAACCGTCTCCTTCATCTAACTTTTACGCATGCAGCCAATATTTCTCCTGCCCTAAATTACCCAGGGCCAGATACAAAACAACTAGAGACCACCTGATAACCCAGAGCCCGTTGATACTATTGAAGCTAGTTTCAATAACCCTGTAGAAAACACAATAAAGCTTGTGGCCTATGCTGTCATCTCACTCCTTTCTGCATCCTGACCAATGCTGGGGGTTCTTTGGCTGCATCATTCACATCCTGCCAAGCCAATCGCTCATGGATCCCGGGCAGCAGGTGACTTCCCATGCTTCTGGCCTCACTCAGTTCATTCTCATGTGGTGCGGCATGTCCTGAGCCCCTCCTCTTGGGACATTGAAGCAATAAAAATCATCTTTTGATGTTACTAGCCTCTCTGCATGGCTTCTCATTGTTACGGTCTGAATGTTGGTGTCTCTGTGGATTCATTTGTTGAAACTTAACCCCTGATGTGACAGTATCAGGAAGTGGGGTATAGGTCATGAGATGAGGCCCTCATGAATATGATTAGTTCCCTTAGAAGAGAGACACCTCACCCCTTCACCATGTGAGGACACTGTAAGAAAATGGCTATCTACGAACCCTTCACCAACACTGAATGTTCTGGGGTCTTATCCCTCTAGAACGGTGAGAAATAAATGTTCATTGTTTTAGCCACCCAGTCTATGCTATTTTTGTTATAGCAGACTGAACAGACGAAGACACCATTATACATTAAAATCCCACAAGTTCAATCATTGATATAACATTTCAAGGGAACTACCTGTCACCATAAAAGCAAGAGCAAGCTATTAGGCATTGAATGTTCTGTATAAGGCTTTGCTGTGACTCTATCCACTAACTCTGAGAGGTAGGTATTATTCAATCCAGTTCAGGGTTGCCCCTCACCACCCGAAGCCCAGAACCCTCAGATGGAACAAAACCAGGCGATGCTTACCTTTCAGGTGGAATGTTATCCGTGTTGCTGCTGTGGCGTCTCTGCATCTTCCTTAACACCTGAAACCCAACACATGGTGAGCCAGAGTCTCCCATCCCGCCCACCACCTGTCAGATTGCCAAGGTCAATGTAAACAAATGCTACTTGCATCTGACATCCCTAGTGTTCTCTGAAGGGTTCAGCTTCTTATGCCATGCCCTCCTCATTTGACATTCAATCCCATGAGCAAAGTGTTTTCACCCCATTTCACAGATGAGGAGGATGAGACCCAGAGACAGAAGTAGTCCTCATATGAGGGGAGGAAGCAGTGACCTGTGCAGCAAAAAGACTCAATCAATTCTAATTGATGCTGCCCCTAACTTGCTGTGTGACCTTCAGCAAATCAGTGCCCTCGCTGTGGCTTCAGATTCCCCATGTGGTACATGGGAAGGGCGAAGTAGTCAAACCCAAATCTTCCTTTCAGCTCTCACATTTAATAAAGTGGTAATAAAGATGGAAATTCTCTTAGAGATATGTCACCTGATTCACTGTGAAGAGCCACGCGGACTTCAGAACTCCATGTTGACGACACCTGAGGTAGGCATTCAGGACTTCTGATGGGGATGTGACCACTGGATCCAGAGAAAACAGGCCTCCCCCTCCTCTTCCTCTCCAGGGGGATGCACAGGCCAGGGGAGCTTGCCAGACTCCAAACCTGGATGGAACAGAACACTTGGGTGATAGTCCTTGCAAAGCCCAGAATCAGATCGTAAGTCTTAGGACACTGTTGGCTGCTGCATGCCGATGTTTCTATCTGCCCATTATCCCTGGGTAGTCTTAAAACAATCCCTCTCTGTGACACTTAATGTATTTTATACTATTGTCAAGCTATGAGTTCTGATTAAGGAATACCGTAAATATGTTTTGGACCATCAGTGGTTTCCCATTGCAATCGGAATAAGACCCAAGCTCTGTCTACAGCCTACAGGCTCCACCTGATGTAGCCTCCTCTGCCTCCAACTTCATTTCCTTCCACTCTCCTTAGTACCACTTCCCTCTACTCGCACTGGCCCTTCTATTCCTCAGGGCCTGTCCCTACCTCATGGCCTTTGCACTTGCTGTTCCTGCTCCCTGGAATGCTATGGAGAGGCTAGCTCCCTCAGGTCAAACATCACCTCCCCGTAACACTGACCTGTGTTATAATCTTCATAGAACTTATTTACTTCCATGTTTGGTTATTCTTTATTTCCTATTTGCCCATTAGAATGCAAATGCCAGGAAAGCAGGGATCCTATCTACCTGGATCATCCCTCTACCTCAGCATCTAGAATGCTGCCAGGCACAAAGTAGCACTCAACAGGTGCTTATTCAATGAATAAAATATCTACATGCATTCAGTGAATAAAAAAGGTTTACCAGTTACCTTTTTCTAGAGTCCTTACTCCCTGTCCTTTCATCTTAGGGAAGAAATAAAAGCCATATACTGGCTGGGCGTGGGAGCTGACACCTGTAATCCCAGCACACTGGGAGGCTGAGGCAGGAGGATCGCTTGAGCCCAGGAGTTCTAGACCAGCCTGGGCAACACAGTGAGACCTCATCACTACAAAAAAATCAAAAAATTCGCTGGGCATGGTAACACGGGCCTGTGGTTCCAGCTAGTCGGGAAGCTGAAGCAGAATGATCACCTGAGCCCAAAAAGTCGAGGCTATGGTGAGCCGTGATTGTGCCACTGCACTCTAGCCTGAGTGACAGAGTGAGACCCTGACTAAAATAAAAACAAAAAATAAAACAAACCATATACTTCCCTGAACCAAAGATGGTGTCTATTAGTCCAGGGTAACATAACTGACTTTGAATGACTTCCTAACCCTGACCAGCTTTCTTGAGGGGCCATTATTGGTGTCACTAGGGCCACTGGTTAGAGACACAATCCACCAGTTATCCCTCCTCTTTTTTTTTTTTTAATTAGCTAAGAAGCAGGTCAGCAACACCTTGATCATATGTGGAAAAAAAACTCATTCCATAAACAGTTTCCAAGAACTTGCATTCTCATCTTAATCCGCTCCTCCAACTACCTCGATCACTTGCATATCCCTGGGGACAATAAAATACAATATCCCAAAGTTTCCATCCACAAATTTGACACGGTCTTCTCAATCAAATGCTCAAGACGCTACTTTCGGATGCTTGCTCTGGAAGGGGCTTCAGAATCTCTGTTGGAAGCAGGCCATACATTAATTGCTCCAATAGCGAATTCTGCAGTAAATTCTTGCACGCAGGATGCATCTGAATGACTGAACGCCTTTTAGCCCCCCGCTTCACGCATGCCACTACACCCCTCTGAAGGACTACACCGAGACTTCTGAGGCTTGCGATGTTTTAAGTTGCGCCCGCGGGCCGTGGCATGACTGCACCACAGTGCACGCCACGGAGCATCTCTCCTGCATCCCTTGGACTGGAAGCAGGCAGGTGCACTCGGGACACAACGTCGCGAGCGCTTTACATTCCTGCAACCGACACACAGCGCAAAACGCTCTAGAACTGCCAGGACTGGAGACTACACAATCGGGAGGGGGAGAAATCGCGTTCTTTTTTTACCTGCCCAGACAATTCAGCAATCACAGCCGCATCATTCACATCCCGCCAAGCCAATCACTCGCGGAGCCCGGGCAGCACGTGACTTCCGATGCTTCCGGCCTTATTCCGTTCCTTCTCTCCGTGGCCAGGCCGGGTGCTAGGATCCGGCTACCGCTACTTCGACCGCGCTCACGCAATTGCCCGCCCCCTTCCCCGGGATTAAGCCAATAGAAAGCCTCCGCTCCGCAGAGACCAATAGCGAGGAGACCTTGGCGGGGCCAGCCGGTGACGCACGGGACGGAGGCGGGGCGTGGGGCGGGGTCACGTGGTGCGGCGCGGGGTGGCTGCCGGGAGCTCGAGTGGTCCGCGGGCCGCGGG